GACCATCTCTAACACCTCTCTCCCCTTCCTGGACCTCTCTGTCTCCACATCGGGCAACCACCTAGAAACCGATATTCATTTCAAGCCATCCGACTCCCACAGCTACCGAGAATACTCCTCCTCCCACCCATCTTCCTGCAAAAATGCTATCCCCTATTCCCAATTCCTTCACCTCCGCCACATCTGCTCCCAGGATGAGGCATTCCACTCCCATACATCTCAGTTGTCCTCGTTTTTCAAGGACCGTAACTTCCCCCCGCTCAGTGGTCGAGAACGCCGTCAACCGTGTCTCCCACATCTCCCGCAACTCATCCCTCACACCCCGTCCACGCAATAATAACCAAAAAAGAATCCCCCTCATCCTCACGTACCACCCCACCAACCTCTGGATCCAACGCATCATCCTCCGACACTTCCGCCATCTGCAATCCGACCCCACCACCAAAGACATCTTTCCCTCCACACCCTTATCTGCTTTCCGGAGGGACCACTCTCTCCGTGACTCCCTTGTCCGCTCCACACTCCCCTCCAGCTCCACCACACCTGGCACTTTTCCCTGCAACCGCAGGAAGTTCTACACCTGCCCCCATACCTCCTCCCTCACCCCCATCCCAGGCCCCAAGAAGACTTTCCACATCAAGCAGATGTTCACCTGCACATCTGCTAATGTGGTATACTGCATCCGCAGTACCCGGTGTGGCTTTCTCTACATCGGGGAAACCAAGCGGAGGCTCGGGGACCGCTTTGCAGAACACCAACGCTCGGTTCGCAATAAACAACTGCACCTCCCAGTCGCGAACCATTTCAACTCCCCCTCCCATTCCTCAGACGACATGTCCATCCTGGACCTCCTGCAGTGCCACAACGATGCCACCTGAAGGTTGCAGGAACAGCAACTCATATTCCGCTTGGGAACCCTGCAGCTCAATGGTATCAATGTGGATTTCACAAGTTTCAAAATCTCCCCTCCCGCTACCGCATCCCAAAACCAGTCCAGCTCGTCCCTGCCTCCCTAACCTGTTCTTCCTCCCACCTATCCCCTCCTCCCACCTCAAGCCGCACCCCTATCTCCTACCGACCAACCTCATCCCGCCCCCTTGACCTGTCCGTCCTCTCTGGACTGACCTATCCCCTCCCTAACTCCCCACCTACACTCACCTTTACTGGCCCCATCCCCGCCTCTTCGACCTGTTTGTTTCCTCTTCACCTATCCTCTCCTCTATCCATCTTCTATCCACCTCCCACTCTCTCCCTATTTATTTCAGAACCCCCTTCCCCTCCCCCTTTTCTGATGACGACTCTAGGCCCGAAACGTCAGCCTTTCTGCTCCTATGATGCTGCTTGGCCTGCTGTGTTCATCCAGCCCTGCACCTTGTTGTCTAGAATTTTATGTTGCCAGTTCATAATTGTTTACATGTAGCTAGAATCTATCTGGTTGCAATAAATAATCTTGCTTGTTAAGTACAGAAACCCGGTCTGTGTTTTTTGTCAACTTGAATCTAAAAGATTGGTAAATTCCTGAATTTTGAGTACTTTTTTGACAACTCCAGAAATAGCAGAAATTCTCGTGAAGGAAATAAAGAGCCCACTACTCTTGTCAGATGTAACAACAGCCGCTTTTTAATATACTTCCAACATAAGTACATTAAAATAAATTTGGGAGTTTTTATTTGTTCATTTCCATTTTTGTGGTTTATTACCTCTGTCTGTTTTGATCTGTTGCCTGTCAACATTCCCAGTGATGATGTAGCTAACTTGTTCCAAACAACAGCATCAGATGTCAGTATATTGGTTTGGAGTATCTTTGATTTTTCTTTGCAGGTTCTACAATAACACCTGGAATCATAGAGTCATGGAGTACAGAAACAGACCCTTCAGCCCAACAGGTCCATGCTGACCAGTTGTCCTGAGTTAATCTGGTCTCATTTACCAATATTTGGCCCATATCCATCTGTATCTTTCCTATTCAGGTACCATCCAGTTGCCTTTTAAATGTTGTAATTATATCAGCCTCCATGACTTCGTCTGGCAGCTCATTCCATGCACACAGCATCCTCTGCATGAAAATGTAGTCCCTTAGGTCCCTTTTCAATCTTTCCCCTCTCACCTTAAACTTACGCTGTCTAGTTTTGGACTCCCCTACCCAGGGAAAAAGACTTTGGCAATTCACTCTATCGATGCCCCTCATGATTTTGTAAACCTCCATAAAGTCACTCCTCAACCCCTGACACTCCAGGAAAATAGCCCCAGCCTATTCAACCTGTCCCCATAGCTCAAACCCTCCAACCCTGGTAACATCCTTGTAGATCTTTTCTGCACCCTTTCAAGTTTAACAACATCCTTCCTATAGCAGTCAGACCAGAATTGAATGCAATATTCAAAAAGTGGCCTAACCAATGTCCTGTACTGCTGCAATATGACATCCCAACTCCTATACTCGATGCACTGACCAATAAAGGTCAGCGTACTGAATGCCTTTTTCTTCAATATCCTCTCTATCTGCGACTCCACTTTCAAGGAACTATGAACATGCACACCAAGGTCTTTGTTTGGCAATGCTTTCCAAGACCTTACCATTAAATCTGCCCTGATTTGTCTTACCAAACTGCAGCACCTCACATTTATCTAAATTAAACTCCATCTGCCTCTCCTCAGCTCATCTGCCCATCTGATCAAGTCCCTGTTGTACTTGAAGGTAACTTTCTTCACTGTTCAGTACACCTCCAATTTTGGTGTAATCTGCAAACTTACTAACCATTTCTCCTGATAGGCCTGGACAAATTAGAAACTCTTTCAAGGGTAATTATAAGATTAAATCATATCCTATCATTTTGTTATGCAGTCCAGCTGGAAACTAATGTGTTGTTTTCAGATATTTTATGTGTTTGGTAAGGAATGTTCAGTATACTAAATGAATGTAGTCATAGCCTTGCTCATTGTTTCACTTCAGTGCATGAATGCAGACTCTGCCTCTCTTGGCTGTAGTTTGTAACAAAGTGCTAACTAACAACAAAATGCTGTATACGAAGTTTCATTCCAAAATTTGTCTCAGTGTCCTGGGTCTCTGCCTTATAACACAACCCTGAATTTTGTTTCCTAAATATTGGACAAAACATCTTTTACAGGTCACTACCTTGTAATACACAACAAGTTGTATATTATTCTCTGCACAATGTGTTAAATCTCAAATAGGATGGTGCTATGACCCAGCAATCCTAATGGGATGAGAGAGCTCACGTTCGAAAATTGTTGGGGCATCAAATTGTGAAGTCATCCCTTCATACAACATAAATGTGTTTACACTGTAAACACTTTCAATATGAACTTTGCGTCTCATTTCTTTTACAGGATATTAACGTACAGTAAGATTAGCCAAATCTTCAGTTGTGGCAAAATTGTCAGCAATTAAATTCCGAACAGGAAATATAATGTAAGGATGCCTTATGATAAGCCAAAGTGCTGGACTCATAACTTTGGATATTTGAACTTTGCAGGCTTGTAATGTGTCTATGCCATGGAGTAGTGTTAGAGTGCAAATCTGCAGTGGTGGCTGCAAAACCATCTCACCCACATCCTGAACGAGTATGGAGCAAATTACATTTTTAACGCAGATGAAATTGAACTGTTTTTATCAGATCGCTCTTTAATATTTAAAGATGAAGTGTGCAATGGTAGAATGTGAAGCAAGGAACATGTCATTGTTGAGGACTGTGTCAGCATGGACGGCACTGAGTAGTTGCTGCTTTTTGTGTTAAGCAAGTCCAAGAGGCCATATTGCTTTATGAACGTCAAAACACTATGCAGTGTGAGGCTAACAAAAACACACCAGTGTCCTCCAGCATTTTGGAGGTGTGGATCAGGAAAGTAGACCACACCAATAGAATAAAAGAAAGATTATCACTTTGATGACTCCAACGAATGCCTGTCTGCTGATCTGCCTGTTTCCCTAGCTAAATCCACGAAGGACCATAGAGATGCAGTGGGATTTTGCACTGCAGCTCAAAAATGCAGAGTATGTTTTACTGCATTGAAGATGTGGCAGAATGTCCAAAGACATCATGCTAAGCAGAAAATAATTACTGGATCTTTCCAGAGCTAACTCCCAACAATTTTCAATGTCTTTTACGCTACAAGATCAGTCCAATGCAAGGTATGAACACATTGAAAAATGAAGACATTTTTCACAAATATACTGTGTCACTGCATTTTTATACTTTTACCAAAGAGTGCATTTGTGGAAAATATGATTACATATGGACTTCATTGACTATCTCAAAGCTCCACTCAATATAAATTTTGGGGTGATTTGATTTATGAATTTACTGTGAATAGATGAGGAAGTGCAAATCTTGATTCAGGTAACACCCCCTTGGAATTGAAACATTATTAGTATTATTCCCTTATTTAGTTTAATTTATTTTAAGGATAGGTGAGAGAACGCATGTTATTATACACCTATTAGTCTAACTTCGTGTAGAGAAGTTACTGAATTTGCCATTAGAGACAGGTGCCAGTGATTTCATTAAAGTGGTTAAACATCTATTTGCTCAATTGCCCTTTAGGATGGGCATTGCCAATAGTCAAAATCAAATTAGCAAAAGTGCCCCTTTTAAAAGGTGGCAAGATAACAAAATCCAAATAAAACAAGAGGAAACTTATTATGATAGAAGTTATTATGTTATTCCAGGTGACAATTATTTGTGTCAGTCTCTCTGGTGTCTGGTCTTTAAAAAAGCCTCAAATGTGAAGGTGGAGGAGGAATGCTTTCTTCCCAGGAATGCCTGGAGAAGCAAGGAGCTGGATCAAAAAAAAACACTTTGATTGCTTTCTGCCTCAACCTGTTGTTATGCATCACTTTGTCCAGGGTCAGTAGTAGACTGAAGTTCAGCCAAAATTGAAATAGCAGCCTCTTCAATTAGTGGAGCCAGGGCTGCAACCTCTCAATCTCAATGTAATCATGAACCAGGGATTCCAGCAGGTTGTAAAGGTTACAAGCAGCCTGGGAATCTTTGACTAGGCTGATAAATCTTTCGGAGGGGATTTCTCCATGAAACACTCTTGTTAGGCTTCACCACATTGAACTATGTGTATAATTAAAAAGGGTTAAGTCAATTATACTGTACGTAAGTTTATTAATCGAACGCCTTACTTATAGTATTGGAATGTTGTTAAGAAATGTTTAAGTTGGCATTTCTTTCACTGTCAAATACAGAAATATACTTTTAACAAGGTTAGAGTCATAGAGTCATAGAGATGTACAGCATGGAATCAAACCCTTTGGTCCAACTCGTCTATGCTGGCCAGATATCATAAATAAATCTTGTCCCATTTGCCAGCATTTGGCCCAAATCCCTCTAAACCCTTCCTATTCATATACCCATCTAGATGCCTTTTAAATGATGCAATTGCACAGTCTCCACCACTTCCTCTAGCAGGTCATTTCATGCATGCACTACTCTCTGTGTGAAAAAATTTCTCCTTAGAGTCCCTTTTAAATCTTTCCTCTCTCACCTTAAATCTATGCCCTCTAGTTTTGGACTCTCCCACTCTGTCAAAAATACTTTGTCTATTTACCCTATCCATGCCCCTCATGATTTTATAAACCTCTATAAGGTCACCCCTCAGCCTCCGACCTTTCATGGAAAATAGCCCCAGTCTATTCAGCCTCTCCCTACAGCTTAATCCCTCCAACCCTGGCAACATCCTTGTAAATATTTTTTGAACCCTTCCAAGTCTCACAACATCCTATTGCAGGCAGACCAGAATTGAACACAGTTTTCCAAAGGTAGCCTTACCAATGTCCTCTACAGCCCCAAGATGACCTCCCAACTCTATACTCAATGCATTGAGCAATAAAGAATTAAAAAAGGACAAGGTACACCTCTTAAAGCCATTGATTCATCACACTTTGCCTTTCTCAGACATCCCCACCTCAACATGCTCTTGCTTTGTCTCTGCAGAAAAAAAAACAGCTTACGTTTCGATGATTTAAGTTGTAGCAGCCTTTCAGTTGCTGCATATATTGTGTATTTCTCTCTGTCCCAATGGCAGAAAATTATTAGCAATGATTGCTAATAGAGATCAGGTGGGTAGGTATAAGAGCCCCTGTCATGTTTCCTGTGGCCCAATTAAAATCAAGCCCAACTTGTCTGGTGTATGGATAGGGATAAAACACTAAAGTCTCTATATAAAAGAATTTCAAACAATATCGAGCAAGTGTTACTGTACAATATCATACAAATGCAGCAATTGTGACAATATCATTATCTGAAATTTATATGATCCCTTTTACAAGCTCACAATTGCCCAAAGCTCTTTGCAATTAAATAATTTTACATTGTAGTTACCGTTGTAATGTAGAAAATGCAAAATGCACCAGAAAGGTTCCAGTCAGTGATGAGATAATCATTAGAGGATTGATTTTAGTGATCATTTTTGAAGGGTATCTAATAAAATCAGCACAAAATGTCCTCATCTAGGTAGTGGTTCCAGTCAAGTTTTATGTGACATTCGTGGCAAAGGGTCTTAATTTACTTTCTCAACTGAAGGACAGAACCTCTGACAGTGTAATACTCCCTCAGTAATGAATTTGTGACTTATCCAAGATTTTATGCCCAAGGATGGGATTTTTTGGGGGCTCAAAGAGAGTGGTAGGCATCATAACATTAGCCTGCATAACAGGAGTGATGGTGCCCATTGACTTCCTGCTGCCGCTGTTATTTTACCCATGGAAGGACAGGTTATGTACAGCCTGTTCTTAACCAGTTGAGGCCTTTAAATGGGAGATTAAGGGGTACCGGTAGGTCTGCTCCTGCAACCACTGGTGGATCGTTGGGCATTTCACAAGTTGGGGAAATCTCCATCTGGTAGATGTAGGCTCCTTGCACTGGCAAGGAGTTCCCTGCTGAAAGACCAGTCTTGCCCTCACACATGAATCACGTCCATCTTAACTAGAGTCCAGCTGATTTGTCTGGGCAAGTCCCACTTGCACTCTGTGAGTTTCTCCATCTTGGCTTGAGCTGGATTCTGCAGTAGTAGGAATGGCTATCAGCTCCACCACCGGTGCTGTTGGGACTGAATGCACTTGGCTGGCAATGTTAGAAGGTTGGACAGAAGTCATGACTGGAGGCAATTAATTGTTCGATCAATGTATAATGCAGACATGGCTACTGCACCTTTAACTTTCTAGCTGGTGGATCGGGGCCATCACTGCCTTACAAAGTCCGAGCACAAGCGTTTGGAGTGGGACAATAAACCTGTAACCTTCTGACTCAAAGTAGGAGCACGACTGTTGAGTTATGACCAATGTAAAATCACAGACTGCTAGAACTGAAGAAATTTATTTCTGTATAATAATTTGGAATAGATCGAAGATTCAATCAATGGGATTTTGAAATTGATTTAAAACAGTCCCAGAACCGATGGTACAAAAAGGTATGCCTAGGTTTTGGGAATGGCCTGATGGTGTCAGAATAGTGCCAAAATTCCTTACATTAAACCAACATATAGAAAAAAAACTGTTACCTTACCGAGGAGAAAAAAGTAAGGTGAGATGATACTGCCCAGCCTGGAAGCCATCAAACTTACTCCGACACCTGTGTTTCTTATCACAGTTGCGTAGAGTTCAGCAGTATAGGTATAAATTATGGTGAAGGCACATGTGTTTGCTAATTTTCCAACCATCACCAGCACTGTAGCAAGCATTGAAACACCTAGACAAAAAAAAAAGAATTAGAACAGTACGCTGAGTGAAATTTGTGTTGGTTTACACATGCCTATCTGTATCGTGCTTTAAACACATGACACATGGGCTAACTTTCTAAATATGCGCTTATGTTATGCCGCCTCACCAGCTTAGAGTACACACTGGAAATTCATATTAATGACCCCCATTCAGTAAACTAATGGATAGAAAGTCATGCAACCACAATTTCCTGACTTATCTTGTTAATCTTCTTTTCAAAAAGAAATTGGACAGGCACTTGAGAATAAAAATATTGCCAGGCTACAGACACACATTTGGGTGAGTGGAACGAACTGACCTGAACCAATGGTACAAACCTGCCTAGGTTTTGGGAATGGCCTGATGGTAATTTGTAAGGCCAGAGAACTTACTTGTGAGACTTTGAAAAATGGCAAAAATAACTATGATTTTTGAAGGGGCTGGTATCTGAGGAGAAGGAATTAAAGGCTCGGAAGAAAAGATGAGTGGTCAGGATATTTAAGGACATGTATAAAATTATGGTATTCCCCATATAAATGCAAGGCTTCCTGTCAATATATTTCTATCTATACATTTTATGCTAGTGTCTATACACAGGTGACAGGCCTCTAAAACTCAATGGATACCAGAGCACATTGTGTATGGGGCTCAATTTTCCCAGGAATACACATGCCAGATCTATTTACTGATGTGAACCAACAGCAGAAGTTGCACCGAGAGTGTTGTGGATGCATCAGTAAATCCATACAGGATAAATGAATGCACAACATAACATACAGCTTCACATGCATCCTCTTTAGCTGTGTGACATGCAGTTAATGGTTAGATCATGACAGTTCAATGCAGGAATGGCAATTTGAATTTTTCTGATATTGTAGGATTCCACCTTCTATTTGAAATAGGCCTAATGTTTGAAAACTGTGGCTGTCAAGTGGTTAGAATTGGTGCACGTAATTTTGGGGATAAGTCGTTGCCAACCATTTTTAGACACTCATTATGTTTCTACTAGTTGGAAGAGCTGAAACTCATCCTAACAACACAGCTAAGAGCAGTGAAGTTGTGATGGGTTAGAAAGAGTGGAGGAGTTCTTAATTGGTTTGCGAACCAGCGCGCTACATATTTCTGAAGAAGAGTCATTTCAGACTGAAATGTTAACTCTGTTTGTCTCATACAGATGCAATCAGTCCTGTTGAGTTTCTCCAGCATTTTCTGTTTTTGTTAAGTATAATTCCAGATGCAATATAAAAATTTACTTGGAGGTATGAACTGGATGAAGAAGAGGACAATTCCACCAAAAAAAAGTGAGCCCGAGAGGCTCAACTTGCGAGAAAGCTTCTGGAGGAAAAGCCAAGCTGCCAGATTGGCTGGAATTTCGATGGCACCGGCGAAGAAACAATTCAAATAGTCATCACCATGGAGATTGGGTGTGTTCAAAGACAGACCATAGTATCCAATTGCTAAAATCAACCTGCAATAAAATTACAAATTCTTCTTGTAAAACTGTTTTTTGAAAAAAATATGAACCGGTTTTTTTTAGCTGCATTTTCTCTTTCACTTATTTACATTAGTGTCACCCGACAGAAATTGCAGACCAGTCTTGTGTTCCTACTGTGACACTGTTTTAGCTACAACCACTGACTGTAGAAGAGCATTTATTACATTAGCGCAATTAAATAAATGAAATTTAATGCGTAATTACCTCAAATTTTCCATTACCATTATGACACAACGGGTAATTCCTCTAATTCACCAGGAAGAAAAAGATAGACAAACATTTTCATAACTATGATACATTTTGCACATTGAATGCCAGTTCCATTTTCGTAGATTACAGCAAAAAGGAGAAATTGAGAACAATAATAAAAGCCGATGAGGAAAACCTGGAGAACTGAAGTAGAAAGTGTCTGAAATCTCTGTGCTTCATGGCTACATCTACAGAAACTATACTCATTTATACGTTCATTCAATACATATGCAGACTCAGGAGTTCCCCAAAGGAGTTGGGACAGGTCTGGCGGGGGGATGGGAATGGATAGTCAGATCCAGGGGCAAGATGTGGGGAGTCAAGTCTGATGGCAACGGAGGGGAGCAGAAGACGTTCAGTGATTAGGATCGGTAGAAGCCAGTTGTCAGGCAGCGGAGGGGTATTCTCAGGTCCTAGGGCACGGATATTGAATCCCAGCGCACATGTTGGGTCTCGGACACGAGGGTTAGTCTCTGGGGTGTGGTATCAGGTCCTGGTGCAGGCCATATCAGGGCCTGGGGCATTGATGATGGGCCCTGGGTCATGGGTATTGGGCCTAGGTTGGGAGGATTGTCAAGCTGGGTGTGAGTGTTGCGGGGGTGGTGGGGGAGGGGCGGAATGCTGTCAGCAAGCAGACTGGGGGTATGCTGGGCCAAGAGAGTGGTGTTGAATCTCATGTGGGGGTATTGGTGCCTGGCTTGGGGTGTCATAATTGTATTTAATTTCAGGCATTGAGAAATTACCAAGAGGAAAGTTCAATTTCCTGGGAAATTCATTGAGTCTGCTGTGATGGGATTCAGCTGGATCCCTTTTATCTACACTGGCATAACAACTGTCTGGCCAGCAGAAAATCTACTCCAATATCTATTTGTCCGTGAAAACTAAGTTCCACAGGCTTTACATCTGTAGCTACAATGAGGGGACAGAGTGACCTGAAATTGACATGGCTAAAGGTGTAGCAAACTGAATTTGAGGTTGGAGGCTGAAGGGTGACATATAGAGGTTTGTACAATCATGAGGGGCATGGATAGGGTGAATAACCAACGTTTTTTCCCTGGGGCTGGGGAGTCCAAAACTAGAGGGCATAGGTTTAATGTGAGAGGGAAAAGATTTAGAAGGGACCTGAGCGGCAAGGTTTTCATACAGAGGGTAGTTTGTGTATGGAATGAGCTGCCAGACAAAGTGTTGGAGTCTGGTACAATTACAACATTTAATAGGCATCTGGATGGGTGTATGAATAGGAAGGGTTTAGAGGGATATGGGCCAAGTGCTGGCAAATGGGACTAGATTAGTTTAGGATATCTGGTTGGCAAGGACGAGGTGGACCAAAGGGTCTGTTTCCAATCTGTACAGCTCTATGACTCTATAACATGGAATCCACATTCTTTTCTAGCAGTTCAATCAAGAAACAGTTCAATCAAGGAATCATAGAGCCACAGAAAGAGGTCATTTGGCCCATTTTGCATGGAATGAGCCTAATGGCGCAATATTGATTTTCTAGGCAGAGTGTGGGGAGAACCTAAACCAGGAAATTTCAATTTCTGAGATAGTAGGAACTGCCAATGCTGGAGAATCTGAGGTAAGGTGTAGAGCTGGATGAACACAGCAGACCAAGCAGCACCAGAGGAGCAGGAAAGCTGATGTTTCGGGTCTGGACCCTTCTTCAGAAAATCTTTCTGAATCATTTTCTGAAGAAGGGTCCAGACCTGAAATGTCAGCCTTCCTGCTCCTCTGATGCTGCTTGGCCTGCTGTGTTCATCCAGCTTCTACACCTTATAATTTCAATTTCTGATTTTCTTAGTTTTTTTTACATTTCGTTGTTCATAGTGTAAGCTAAAATGATTTAATCTATGTCAAATATTAAAATAAATGTAAGTATTCTATATGTTACTATTGAACATAACAAAGGTGGCTTACATGGGTTCAGGTCGAATGAATTAATGATGCATGTACTAATGGTCTGTGATCATGTGATATGAGATGAAACCTTTCCAGCTCAAGGACATCAATTCAGGTTTGTTCAGCGCCAATTTTTTCTGGTTTGATATCATAATCACTATTAGTCCCTCATGTCTGCCATATCTTACCAAACTCCACAAATGTTGGAGTGAGATGATCTCAATGTTGAGTTGGGTCTTCTCATCCAATTCTGACAGTGATGTTGCCATAGTCCATGTATCTCAGAAACCTAGATGATTCTGCTCATTGAGCTTAAATTGGCAGAATCTTTGAGGGGCCTGAACAATGTGGACCACGGTAAGATTTGTGGCAGATAGGCCTAGATCAACAGCAGGAGCCACTTACTACATTTTCATGTATTTGCTGGGTGGCAAGGCAAGTTTCTCACTAGGCAGCAATAAGTTGTCAATTAAGAGGGAATTATAGCTTGTTACCACTTTATTAACAGTGAAACTCTCCTCATTAACATTCAACTTCCTACGTTATCAAACATGTTGCTAGACATTGAAAATCCTTGATTTGGAAGTCAGAGTGGGTACCTGGTGACCTCAACATACCACTTGCTCCAAAGGAACTCCATGCTGGATACCAGACATGAACATCTGAGGGCATGCACCATAGACATTGCCACATGAACTCCATATCCATTGACATTGGCATCTGATATATGCCAGCCTCTAAGAATGTTCATGGCCATCCCCAATCTACTTAAAAGATACTTATGCACTTCAATGCTGCACCTTGGGCTGCACCAGCAACTATCATTGTAATGCTGCTGTTCATCCCTATCTCTCCTTAAACTGAGAGTCTGGCTGGACCATTTAAGAGGGCGGATAAGGTGCAACAACTTTGCTGTGGGTATGGAGACAAAGAAGGCACAACAGAGATGAAGATCAGGTAGGGATTGAGAAAATGGATAACTGCTGAGCAGGTTAGAAAAACCAGGCAAGCAGGGCTGGAGTCTCATAAGTTCATCTCACGCTCTAACCAGTTTTTCACTTTGGTTATGGTCAAAGCAATGCAGAGGGCACAGGGAAATAATGTTGTGGGTTTGGGTGGGTGACAGTGAGTGAAGGAAGATGCTGTAGACAATAGTAAGGTTGGTTGAGCATGAGCCTTACTGGGAGGTAAGTACAGTAGCAGAGATAGATTGAGTGTGAGATTATAGAGATGATGGTGACAAGTACACTGGCAGAGTTGAGAGAGTCACTGATCTTCTTCCTACAGTGCTGACTATTCGTCCACATGGCTGAGACTGTACTGGCCTGGGTGGCAGTGTCAGAACAGGTAAGTATGGTCTGGCGTCATGGGCTCCAGTGCTTGTTCTAGTGGAAAGGGACCACCCCATCCAGAGTTGGGAGAAAAATTTCCCTTCTCTGCCATGTCCAGGGCAAATGCCAGGATTGTGCAGGGCAGCTCTGGACTAACTGGATGCACAACAGCCTTTTAAAGATGGCACCAGGTCCGGGCATGTGGATCAATTCTGGGATATCCTGGCAGTAGCAAGTTGTTCCAAGAATGGTGCAATGGGCATGAGGGCACCATGGTAGGGGTTAGATAGTTAATGAGGCGAGTTTGGTAAGACAGGGCAAGAACACTCTCTAGGCCTCACAGGGAAATGTCCTCCAAAAACTTGCTGCAACTGGCATGTAAGAATTAATCCTAAGTTTCCTTTGCTCAGGAAGAAGACAGAGTGAGAGGTGGACTAGTTTTCTATAGCCATTTTGTGTTCATCCTTCATTAAACAGAGGCATGTGTGAATTCTTAGGATGGCTATGAATTATCCTCATGATATCCTGAAGGCAATAGACAAGAAATATTTATTTGATAAACATACTTGGTTTTTCTTAGATCAAATACTTACCACACTATAAGGCTTATAATGGTGATGCTTTGAATGTTATGGGTTTTTACCAAGTGACTAATTGGCAAAGACTTTATATTTTTATCCTTTATATTTTCAAGCTAGGAAAAAGAAACAGAAGTTTCAATATAATTAGAAAATATCAACTTTATCTACTATCATTTTTAGTTTATTTTGAACGTGGCTGATCCAGAAATCAGTTGACTGGATGGCTGGCTTGTCATGCTGAGTAATGGCAACAATGTGGGTTCAATTCCCACACCAGCTGAAGTTACCTTCTAAACCTTCCCCTTGCCTGAGGCCTGCTGACTCTCAGAATAAGCAATCATCAGTTGATTCTCTCTAATGAGACAGCAGTCCTATGGTTTGGTAAAACCATGGCGACAGACACATTTTCCTCAAATTTGGAAAAGTTCCAATTCACGTGAATATACAAGGTGGTGAATGCTTCCTGATTCTGCATTTTAATTCAAAACAGAGCACAGAACGAACTTCAAAAATTGTGCATCAGAATCAGTGCTCAGTGTTCATTAACTGATTGAAAATGGTGCAGTACAAACTCTCTCCATGGTGACTTTTCCTTTCCCTTCCACAATCACGCATTGTGTTGACTCTACATCACCTACAGATGAGAAAGCTGGAACTCAGCACAAACATAATAAAACCCTGATTTTAATGATATGGAGCTGCAGCACAGTTCATGATACTAGCTTAATTCTCAGAGAACATTATTCACATCGTCTCACTTTCAGTGTGTGTGCTTGGGTGAGTAAAGTGTTTTTGTTGGTAATAGAAATTGCAATGAAAGTACAGTCTTATTTCAGATTGCTTCAATACAAGTGGGAGAGATATAAGCAGGAAGTAAAAACATTGTTGTACAGTCAGAACACATTAAAATGATCTTTACTGGCCTGAGAAAATTGTAAACATTTTGAGCTCTATTTGCATTTGTTTCCTGTTGTTATGGTGAAATCCTTTCTAAGAGACTTATCTATATCTGTATAATCAACAAGAGTGTAATATGATCAGTAGCACAATGACATTCGCAAGTGACACATTTTTAAATCCTAGTTCTTATAACTATAGGGGAGGGGACACTTTGTAAATGACTGTGGCAAGAACGGTCTTGAAGCTGTTGATTTACAGTAAGAGCAGTTTTGCAGCAATGTAATTGTTATGTAGACAGGCTTCACAAATCTTCACAATATCTTTCCCTTATCAATATGATTTCAATCATAGAGTTAAACATGCAGCTAAATTTGCTTCGTTTTAAAAACAATGTACTGTAACATATCATCGGCTGAAGTATTAAGCAATAAAACGTAAAATTGTCTTAGGTTCAGTTCCCCACTCCGTGGGTGGTTTAGCTGAGTTAGGGTTACAATGGGAATGAGAAATAAGTTCTGTATCTCTGGGAGAAATTATTTGGAATGGTGATTTTGTGCAATTGATGAAAAATACATCCTTGGAATTCAAACAATGAACTACAATTACCGGATGAATAGGTGAGTATGAATGTCTACTAAAAAGATGTCTGAAAGTATGAGTTATGCGTGATGTAGTAAGTGGAAAGTCCCTTACAACTGTGCAGGGCACAGCCTATTCCTGGAAATCATGTGTCTTTTAGAAGGCCAGGTTTTTGGATGCTTGCTCAGTTATTTTCCCAACAGCAGTCTTCAGTGTGTATGCAGTGCATAAAACAACACAAGGCATTACTCAGCCCTGGTAATCTTTTACAAAAAAAGAAAACTTACAACTTTCTTGTTGTAAAGGCTTCAGTTAGAATTGCCTGCTCTGTTTGGATCTATTTTTGGAGATTGCATGTCTTAATTTCCTAGTTTGTACTTCACCTAGTTGAACAATCTTTCCCAATCTCCAGTATTTTTAAAACTAATGAACAAAAGTTTCCAAAAAAATGTATAAAACACACAGGGCTAATAATTTGACTGGTCTAGAGAATAATGTGTGATTAGCCTAAGCTCAAGTAATGCAGAAAGCCTGGTAATTCAAGTGGTTGCTGCGTGTAGTTCAATGCTGAAGACACTGCTGAGTGGCTATATTTCTCAGCAGTATGCTCCACACTTGTGCATTCACTAGAGCCAGTTCAAGCTAACCTGCACTGCAGTGAAGATGGGGTGGAAGTAATTGTGGAAAAGTTTATGAGATGATGAGTGGAAATGGTGCCTTGGGCCAGAGGATTTGGATGAAGCTTGTGATGAGGTGGAATACAGAAAAAAAAAAAGCATTGGATTGTGCATATGGCAACGATTGTACATTGGCAGGTCTTTGTTAGAAAACCTGTTGTCACTGCTAAAGACCATTGATCAATCCAGTTCCAGTTTGGCACAGGGCTTTGGACAGAGGGCTTTCCACAGTGCAAGTAGTAGCTACCTCCATCACAGCATTGTGGACCAAAGCATGGTACAGATTTTTCATGGGCTCCATTCTCAGTTTGCATAGCAGCGCAATGACTTAATATGAATGCTGCAGTGGAAACACAGACTGTGAAGCCCCTACACCACAAATAACGCTCAACCTTGACTCAACTACTTTCCAAAACAACCCAACTACACCCTCAATACCCTGATGATTTTTCTTGAACTCCAACTATTCCACCTAGCTGTTCTATCACAACTAATCAAACTAACCCCTGATGACCCGACTCCTCCCAAAGAAACTCGATTAGCTGCTGATCTGACGACCCCATTCTATCAGCAGGTTACCTCTCCAGCCAAAAGACTACCCCCTTGATCTGACTAATCATGCCCAGCCCCTGACACTTTACCCACTTAATCCCAGCAACTGCTACTTTACCCACTTGCCGCATCTTTCCACATCAGCCAGCATACCCATTTACCAACATATGAACCTAAAATTAGGGGCAGGCGTAAGCCATTCAGTTTCTGTAGCCTGCTCAGCCATTCAATAAGATCATGGCTGGTCTAACTCTCCCATACTACTCACTTACTCACTCACCTCTCCACTTACCCAAACTGCCCATTCACTCGTACATTCACTCATCCATTCAATGACATTCAGGACTACCTTTAAAAATAATATATGACAACTGTGCTGCAAAAAGGGTGCATGTCCATCAACTCTCCCCGACATCCGAACCCTCCCTAACTCTATGCTGCTGTACCAAAGTGCCTCAATGAATACTGCGCTCCACATTTCTGGGAGAGTCAGGCTTAGAAAACGTGGCAAGAAAGGGAACCATCAGCAGACTGTTTGATCTGAGCAACAATCCAATGATGATTAGATTCCTGGTGGATTCGGAATACATGTTCAGAAGCTGATGGCCTGCAAATTGTTTGTCCTATTGAGCAGGTGATTTGCTTCTGTGCTTCTGTCAGGAGCTCTAACCTACTGCTGTCAGAGTTTGTGTACTGATTGAACTGTAACTATAGAGTTCTTCCAGAAAGTTCTACTGACTCTAGCAGCATTAGTTTAGGACATTAAATAGAGTTAGACCCTGAAGAAATAACAAAACACAACCTAGTGTTGTATGCGCCTGCGAGGACCCACATGCCATGGAATTAATATATTTCCAGCTCTGGTGTATAAGGTATCAGTAACCATTGGTGTGATGCCACAATGATCAACAGCTGATCTTGGAAGGAGCTAGAACCGAAGAGGTCTAAGGTTACAGTGACTTTGATGGCTATTGGTGGAACATATCAATTGCGACTGGAATTTTCAAGATGTTTAGTCACGTGTGCCTTTTTCACTCAGGTTCCTTCTTGCCCTCCTGATGTTTGGGGCTTTGTTCTTCATGTGGAAGATGCTTTCTCTCGACGCCACTGGACACAAAATCCAAGAGCAATGTCCCCATTGTCAAATACTGGGCTAAATCCTACTTTTTTGGCCAAGAGTCAGCCCTGGAAAGTCTTTTAGAAAGTGCCTTGCAATGTAGCTGAATGAGATTTTTTCACCATGCTTTACCAAATCTACCACATTAACTACCTGTTCTGTCTTGTCTGATTTTAGCCCCGTCTCACCAGTCACTATTCCCAGAACAACTTGTCACCCAATGGATATCTGCTGAAAGACTTGCATCCCTGGCACCATCTTTAAAAATTTGTTGTGTACCTGGACAAACATTTGGAATCCCTTGTTGCCCTTCACTGGCAGCATAATAGCACAACAGCCACAAAGCTACACTGCCATGTTCTAGAACTGAGATAGCATCCACTCCTTCCCTCGCACGTGCAACCCCATTCTCTCAAACAAGAGAAGGAATATTTGGTGAATGTGGACACAAGTCATCCGCGCATTTAGGTAATGAAATGACTTCCTATTAACAAACACAGCTGGCTGTTGATAATGTGCTATGATGACAATACGGGTGCATCTGTGTGAAGCCAGCTATGAAAGCAAAGCCAACTGCCATGACTGCTTGACTCCTAGCATGAAAGGAGAAGTACACAACTTGGTGCACTTTAGTTAGGAGTCCAAATTTAGGAAACCAAATTTTCAGGTAAATGGAGACAGTATGCATAGATCTGGATCTGAGTAACCTCTCAGATACATCTATGAGTGGACGCCTGTGAAATTCTGCAGAGGTCCCTCGTGGCCTCCTGAAAAGAGCCACTTGCATAAAAGTTGAGGGTCACTGTTACCTTCAAGGCAACTTGCACAGGATTTCTACCAAATCTTCATGACTGCAGATGCCCGTTTGGCAGCTGAAAGATGTAGAAGACGTTGACTCTCTGTCAGTTACAGGTAGCTGCATTGATGGCTGTAGTTGTGCTTTCTGGCCAAGGCTTTCTATCAGAGAAGCCCCTTTTGCCCAGATGTTAACCCTCTGCAGTCTGGACTGCAGGTGATGGCTTCTGCTGCTGCTCGATCCGATGATCTATAGCAGCAAGATCACCAGAGGACTAGCAGGATTGATCTGTGCCATTTGAACTTGGGTTTTAGAAGATCTGTGAAGATAGTAATTGTGTCTTCCTTTTGTACAAAGTTTGCCCTGCAGTCTTTCTCCATGTTACCCCTGTTAGTTCCTTCACCAAGCTCTGTTCCCCATTTGGCCTCCTCATGTGTACCATAAAAAAGCTCCATCTTGAATGTTTTCAGAGGATGGCTTCTTAAAGCCAAATTTTCAAGTAAATGGAGACAGTACACACAGATCTGAATGCTTAAAGTGTATCAATGAATCTTCCCATCCACAACGGTCACCTTCCCTTCATAAGGTTGCAGCTTAACACTTTTAATGCTGCCTTGACACACAGAACCACCTGTACCTCTGCCTCTCCCCCACCCTTCCTGTTGTCTGCCTGGAGCTTCTGGTTGGAATTTCAGAGCTGGCAGTACTTGTTGGCCTTGACGGCCAGTGGGTTAGATTATAGATTGCATGCCTTCATCCCTTCATCCCGGGCATCATGCATATTTGAGATATCACAAAGTGGAAATCTGTTAACATTATACTTTGGCTCCATGATGTTGTGGGATCTTGGAATGTGATGCAATGAGTTGTGGAGATATTATTTATGAAATGAACATAGCTGACTAGGATTTTCCATCCATTAGACAGATGATTAAAGTTATGCCCTTCAATTGGCCTGAATTTTTTTGTTTTAATGCTCCCCATCCAAAAAGTTTTCCTCCCACTTTGAAGTAAGAAGGGTTGATGAGGGCAGAGCAGTGGGCATGATCTCCATGGACTTCAGTAAGGCATTCAACCAAGGTTCCTCATGGTAGACTGGTTAGCAAGTTTAGATCACATGGAATACAGGGAGAACTGGCCATTTGGATACAGAACTGGCTCGAAGGTAGAAGACAGAGGGTGGTGGTTAAGGGTTGCTTTTCAGACTGGAGGCCTGTGACCAGCAGTGTGCTACAAGGATCAGTGCTGTGTCCACTGCTTTTTGTCATTTATATAAATGATTTGGATGTGAACATTAGAGATATGGTTTGTAAGTTTGCAGATGACATCAAAATTAGAGGTGTAGTGGACAGCAAAGAATGTTACCTTAGAGTACAATGGGATCTTGATCAGATGGGCCAATGGGCCAAGGAGTGGCAGATGGAGTTTAATTTAGATAAATGTGAGGTGCTGCATCTTGGAAACGCAAATCAGGGCAGACTTCTACATTTGATGGTAAGGTCTTGGGAAGTGTTGCTGAACAAAGAGACCTTGGAGTGCAGGTTCATAGTTCCCTGAAAGTGGAGTTGCAGGTAGATAGGATAGTGAAGAAGGTGTCGGTATGCTTGCCTTTATTGGTCAATACATTGAGTATAGGAGTTGGCAGGTCATGTTGCAGCTGTGCAGGATATTGGTTAGGCTACTATTGGACTATTGTGTGCAATTCTGGTCTCCTTGCTCGGGGAAGGATGTTGTGAAATTTGAAAGGGTTCTGAAAAGACTTACAAGGATGTTGCCAGGGTTGGAGGGTTTCAGCTATAGGGAGAGGCTGAGGAGACTGGGGCTATTTTCCCTGGAGCATCGGAGACTGAGGGGTGACCTTATAGAAGTTTATAAAATCATGGGGGACATGGATAGGGTAGACAAGGTTCTTTCCCTGGGGTAGGGGAGTCCAAAACTAGAGGTCAAGGTTTAAGGTGAGAGGGGAAAGATATAAAAGGGACCTAAGGGGCAACATTTTCACGCACAGGGTGGTGTGTGTTTGGAAGTGGTGGAGGCTGGTACAATTACAATATTTAAAAGACATCTGGATACGTATATGAAGAGGAAGGTTTAGAGGGATACAGGCCAAATGCCAGTGGCACTAGATTATTTAGGATATCTGGTTGGCTTGGACAAGTTGGAATGAAGAGCCTGTTTCCATGTTGTATATCTCTTTGATTCTATGATGGTGCAGCACGATTCTCAGTGGTTAGCGTTGCTACCTCACAGCACCAGTGATCTGGGTTCAATTAAAGCCTGGGGTGACTGTCTGTGTGGAGTTTGCACGTTGTCCCTGTGTCTGTGTGGGTTTCCTCCGGGTGCTCTGGATTCCTCCCACAGTCCAAAGATGTGCAGGTTAGATGGATTGGCCATGCTAAATTGCCCATAGTGTCCTGGGGGGGAAGTGCAGGAATAGTTTAAGGGATGGGTCTGGGTGGGATGCTCTTTGGAGGGTGTGGACTTGATGGGCTGAATGGTCTGCTTCCACACTGTAGAGATTCTATGACTCCATAAGTTATTGAAACCGGTGAAATTTCAGTTCTATGTCTGACCTTTCCCCTGTTACTCACATCGTTTCTCCCATTCCTTACTTGCCTGAAAGACTTATTATTTCTGTCATGTTATAAGCTCTGCCCATTTTGGCCAATCTCATCTGTGTGATAAATAACTTCACCTTTTTGCCTCTGAGCTCATCATTTTCCTGGTCCCAATGCTTGTCTTGGCCCTTTCCCCTTCATGATTGGGACGATCTTCACCATTACATTTCTGTCTTTGAGTATGTTTAAGGTAGATGGGATGGGTAAAAGGCATTGCAGTGATTGGTCAGCTGTGATCATATTGAATGGCACACCAGGCTTGACAGGCTGAATTGCCTGTTCCTATGTTGATACCCTCACCATGAGTTGTATGAGATTTTACCAAATCTCACCTTATCACATTTAATTTTCCTGCCTAGCTACATCCCATTGTTGGGCTTCTCTCAATATCTGGTGGTGACTCCTGGTGACTCTCCCAGCTACGGCTCCAAACTACGCAGGACACAACAGAAACTGTAGCGTTGTGCATCTGTCCGCACTCCCCTGGACAGGCCTAATCGCTGGACTGACAGCACCCACCCTTCTCCCACTGATACTCCCTCCAATGTGCTGTTTATGTTCTACTATGTCCTTCAGCCATAACCTTCCTCCTCGCTTTAGTTATTTGGGCCATATGGTAGATCATGAACTCAGCCTACTTTCCTCCCCTTTGTCGCCTCAACTTTATTTGGAGATCCAACAGGACTAGACAGGATGTATGCAGGAAGGATGTTCCTGAGGAGTGGGTAGCCCAGAACTAGGGACACAGTCTACATATATGGATTTGGCCATTTAAGACTCAGATGAGGAGAAATTTCTTCACACAGGGTGGTGAGCCTGTGAAATTCCCTGGAAAGTCGTTGAGGCCAAACACTGAATGTTTTCAAGAAGGAAATCGATATAGTTCTCAGGGCTAAAGGGATCAAAGGGTCTGGGGAGAAAATGGGAATAAGGTACTGAGTTGGATAATTAGCCATGATTGTATAGAACTATCGGGCAGGCCGGAAATGCTGAACAACCTACTTCTATTCCCATTTTCTAGGTTTCTGTAAGTTACCCAGAGTAAAACGTGCATTTATGGGTGAAAAATGGAGGCTGACTCCTAAACATAAATAAACAAATTATGCATGGAAAGGGGGATTGACTTGAATGCTGAGCATATACAAGAACCTCAAATAATCAAGAATGCCACCTGGCTTAATAATTGTTCCAAACAAATAGGTAAGATATTAAATTCAGCCCTGGGGCTGTGCTGAATTATTTGTAGTTGGGTTAAAACATTTGGCTTCCAGAACAAAAAGAATGAGAGAAGGTTCAGCATTAATGCGACTTGTTTGTACAATTGTTGGCGCTCCAATTGTTTTAAGAACCTCAGGAATCTCAATTCTAGTGGCCTTATGTTGAATTCTCCTGGAAAGTCCAAGTGCATTTGCTTTTGGGTGAAGATGGAATGGGGCTTGGTTGTGAAAACCTGGATAGCCAAATACCTTGACAGCACTCATTATCTAGCTTCATATTTGAAAAAGTCATGTCGACAAGGAGATGACTGACATCTGTTGAATTCTAACATAGCCAAAACATATTCAATGTATTCAGTGCAGAAGGCGGCTGAGAAAGTTGGACCATTAAACAGCAGGCTTATATTAAAGAGCTGAAAGAACGAAAGCATTATGAGTGCTAATACCTCCAAATCATTGAAGAGCTCCTCTGGTAGAGTAAGACCATTTTTCTTTGCAACGTGTTGGAATATTGCTTCTGCCTCCTGTACCCTCCCCTTTGACAGCAGCCAGCGTGGAGATTCATAAACAAACCTGGGATTAGAAGTGTTATTTTAAGAAATGAAGATTGCATAAAGAACTTGTGAAGATACTATTAATATTAAAATTGTATTTAATAACATATAAACATGTAAATGCATTCAAATTCAGAACCAGCATCGGCCCATTTGATGTATATTTTGTCATGAATTTTGGGACAAACAGAAATATTTTCTCAAGTACACTATGAGCAAGGGTTTCCAAATTTTAGACGTACTCAAACCATAGAATTTAATTTGGACCATGCATATCTTACTCACTGGTTGGAGAACAGGTCATCAGCACTGGCCACTGGTGGGCCCTTTAGAGAGTGAGGAGCTGGGAGCAGACAGGTCACACACTGTGATCTGCTGCCTAATCAGACACTGGCATCTCCTTAATGATACCAGTGGGAATGCTGGCTGCTACTGGCAATGCCCTCTGGGCAACCGCAAAGGTTGTCACCGGATCTCCAGACGCAGGTGAGCGAGGTGGGATGTGGGTTGTGAGGAGTGGGATGCTGGATAGGTCAAGAGGTAAGAGGCAAGGACAGGAGGTGGCTTCCCAGGGGCCTTTCTTTCCTAATGCCAGGTGTTGAAATAGGGCACAGAGTCCTGTGAATTGGAAACTCCCCTCTCTGAAACTGCAGGCAATCCCAGTAGGGTTTTCTGATGGTCTTTGGGAGGCATGAAAGAGTCATATGATGCCCATTTAATCCCTAGGCTACTCATAAATTCTGGTGGGCTTTGGGTTAATTCATGACAAGTGGTTCATGAATGAACTGAAATGACATCCTGCCATGAGTGGGTGAATCACACATATTGGATGCTTCTCACCTTCGATTTAGTCATGTGAAGGTTTCAAACCACCCACAGACTGACACACAGCCTTTCCTGTGACTCAGTAGACCCAGACTGCTCTCATTTCCTACCATGACGGGATAGATCAAATTGAACACAATGTGTGTGTGTGTATTTTGCAGCGTTGGTGATACTGTAGCTTGACAAAAGCAAGTAATTAGAACAAAGCTTGCTTAAAAAAGACAAGAGGTTGAAACTTTTCATCTTGACTCATATGAACTAGGATACAAGAAACAGACTTGAGAAAAAGAGACTCTGTTTCTTACAGCGAGAGGAGAGGGTGGTGTTTGGCAGGAAATGCAGCAAGAACAGTTAACTGTCAATCTTAATTCTCACACCAGGCAGGTCAATTCTGATTGGTCAGGGCACTGCCATGGGAATGCAGCTGTTTGGCTGACAGATTTGAGTCTGATTTTTTTTTTGCCGAAAATGCAAGTTCAAGCAGAGAATTTCATTTTCTTATCTTCCCAGGAAGAATCCCAAGAAAAATCCTTGGTAATTATGATCTAGGTCATGGGAAACAAGAATAAATACCCACATAGCAGAACTGAGGAAGTATGGTCTGAGGAAGGTGGTCTCACTAATACAAAAATTCTTGAGGGCCTAATGAAAGCATCAAGCTCATCAAGAAATTACACACAGCTTTCCCATCGAATTGAGAATAAAAATCTGGAGGTACAGATTGAAGTGCTGCATATAATCCTATGGAAACCACGAATGAGAAGAGAGGACCGATGTCCTGAGATCCAGGATATGGTCAGGAAGAAATTATATGGTTTAGAAATCCAAGATATTGCAGGAAAGAAAATTGTCTGAGTCAACAGGAAAGCTGTCCTGTACTAAGGAAATACTAAACGTCTTCCAATTGTTGCAGGGTTTTGTCAGGAAAGACACCCTCTGTGAAGGAAGTACCAGAGGTGAAAATGCCACCAGTCGAAGTGGGTATTCAACCTCACACTGTCAGGAGTGGAAATAGAATCAACAGCTTTTGATAAGCATTCCAAGGCCAAAGAGAAAGCATTCTGAGAAAGTAAGTGAACCACCCAGAGCACCTGAATTTGGAAAGCCAGAGATGTGTGGTGGAATTGGGTGAGTGGTAAATGCATTTATACATGCAAACATACAACACTAAAAATGAGAAAAAAATATTTTGAGGGGGAATGTTGAAAGGGTGTCTCCCCTTGTGGCAGACCCTTAAACGAAATGTGGACACAGTATAAAAGTAGAGGATGACCTGAGAGAGAGAGATGATGAAAAATAATTTCTTCCAGATTGTTGGTGTCTGGAATTATCTTCCACACAGAACATTGGAGGCAGGGGCATTTTGAATATGTTTAAGGCTGAGTTAGATAGATTATTCATTGACAAGGAATTGGGAGTGGGGAATAGACAAGAAAGTGCAGTTTAGGCCACAATCAGATCAGCTATGATCTTATCCAATGGTGGAGCAGGCTTGAAGGACTGAATGGCCAACTCCTGCCCTGATGTATGTTTAAATGTACATTGGTCAGGTGGAGAGGAGAGAATCACTTGGGAGTGGTGATGAGAAATTTTAAATTCACATCCAATTGCAAAGAGAAAAATACCTTTCAATATGCTAGAATGCTCGACTGAAGTATATTTTAGAAATGCACTGGCTAAGAAAAGGTGGAAGGGGAAATTGGTGAACAACAGCATTTGTTTTTAAAGTAGTTGCAAAAGGATAGAAAAAAAAGTATTTTTAATGGAATTTATGAAAACTAGGTTTCAGCTGTTAGGATAAGTAAAAACAATGAAATTTCAATATAAAAAATTATATGTAGAATAATAATTTTTTAAAAGAATGGCAGGTGAGAGGAAAACTTAAGTGTGTAACATGATAAACCAAAATCAAGTAGGACCAATAAGTTATTTTGTAAATGCAGTGAAAAGAAAATTAGTAAAGGTGAGGTGAGACTGCTGAGATGAGAGAATTGTCAACTTGTAGTGTCCAGTAGTTCCTCTGTCGCAGCATCACCACTGGAAGGGCATTCTCTGAAGAGGAGCAACATGGAGATCAGATTCACAGGTTAGTCCAAGGTCTTGCTCAGGCCAGGCAGATAGGCCTGGGTGAGTGGGGGTGAGGGTTGGGGCTCATGTAGTAGGTGCGTGAAATACCTCAGATACCTTAGCAGGGAGAGGCCTCTGCTAGGCACAACCCTAATCCAGAAGGCTTGCCATATTCTAATGGGAGGGTTGGACACTTGGTGCCATCCTTCCTCACTGTGGCTAAGAGCCTAGTGGCAGTGGAGGTGGGGGTGGGGGTCACTTTTAAAGTGACCAAAACAGCCCACTTAAGGGTCTCATTTGAGAGAGTGGGCTGGAGGTGCCAGGGGTGGGTAGTGTGAGCACTACACCCCTCTGACCTGCCACCTGGCCCAGGGTATAAAGTTGTCACCAAAGTTTCAAGTGACTATTGAGTGTGACTGTGCCCAGACTGCACGAGAATGTCCTATGTTAATAAGGGAGACAATTAACTAAGGTGATTAGAGTACAACTTGCTTAACATCAGTGGTAGGAAATATATTAGAGATTTCTCGAGGATAACAAAGCTAGACGTAAAAAAACTGAAAATAATCCAGTTGAAACTTTTCAGTGTTCCATTAAACACACTTCTAGCACCCTCTGCTGGAATGTAGCTGAACATACAAAGATCCACATAAAGAACTTGAACTGATACGCAATGCGAACGTATATCTTTGAATGCTTTACAGAGGACGCTGGAGAACATGAAGCAGGAAACAGAAGATGAAATAGGGTGGGCTACAGTGGTGGGAGTGGGAGTGGATGCATGGAGGGAGAGATCAAAGCTATATTTGAAGTGAAAGATTTTTTATTGACTTTGGTAGAGAGGAAAACTCTCAGCAAAGCAAAGAGGTTTAGAGGAGAATTTCAAAAACTTGGATGTAGCAGGTAAGTTTGGAAAGCAGGCTTTAATTTCACAGAATCACAGAATTGTTACAGTACAGCAAGAGGCCACTCAGCCTATCAGGTCTGCATCAAATCTTCAATAAGCATCATTACCTGGTGCCAATTTCTTGCTTTTTCCCCACGTCCCTTGCATATTATTTCTATCCAAATAACCATCCAATGTCCTCATGATGTCTCAATTGAACCTGCCTCCTCCACACTGCCAGGCAGGACATTCCAGACGTTAACTACCCGCTGAATGAAAAAGGTTTTTCGCTTAAGTCACACTTGCTTGTTTTGCACATCATTTTTAATCTGTACCGTCCTGTTCTTGGCCCTTTTCCAAGTGGGAACAACTTCGCTCCACCTGCTTGGTCCATACTACATGATTTTGAAAACCTCTACGAAATTTCTTCTCAGCCATTTTTTTTCTTTAAAAAGAACAGTCCCTAACTGCTTCAAATTATTCTCATAACTAAAGTTTCTCAGTCCTGGGACCATACTTATAGATGAAGTCTGCACTCTCTCCGAGTCTGTTCCTGATGGTCATTACGTTTGTGACTTTATTGAAGGCTTCATCATCGGTGGGTCTGGTCCATTCCTCCTGGTGGCTGTGCAGCGGTTTCAGCGGTGGCTATAGCGATGGCGGCATGGGGTGGTTCTGGTCCGTTCCTTGCGGCTATGGCGGCAATGTGGCGGCTTCGGGTGGCGGCTGAAGTGGCGATGGCTTCAGCACCGTGCTGACTCGGTGGGTTTGTCTGTCAGTCGTGGCTATGGCAGCGATACAGTGGCTTTGGTGTTGACTTCAGTGGTGGCAGTGTGGTGGGTCCAGCCCGGAAATCCTTGCTTTGATGCCCTCAGGGGCAGCTTCAGCAGCAGCGTCCTGTAGCCATTCCACAAATCTGGGAGCCGTGGAGGGAACAAAAGATGAGCTTTGTCCTTATTTTGTCTCAATTATTTCTTTTTGTAATTTCTGTCATTAAAATGATGCCCAATTGTGGTGACTTATACACATCTCATCATATTTTCACAATAAATTGCTATATGTTGCTATAGCAACAATGTGATGCCCGCAATTAGACACAATACTCTGGCTGAGGTCTCACAAGTGTCTCGTACAAGTTCAACATCACTTCCTTGTTTTTGTGCTCTATGTTCTTATTAATAGGGACAAGGATACTGTTTGCCATCTTTAATGATCTGTGCACATATACACCTAGGTTCCAC